AGCATCTTGAAACACATCCAAAGGTAGCGGTGACGGCTGCTGTCAGGGAAACAATAATCCCATGGCCTCGCCAGCATCAGCTGCGCTGCAGCACCGGGGCCGAGCCACGTGCGACGGAGGCTTCTGCCGCTGCCTGCTTTGTCTGATGAAAGGAGCCCGGTTGGAGGTGGCCCGGGCAAGCAGAGGCGGAGATGTGGTGTCACAGACCGTAATCTTCTCATCAGCCAAAATCCCCTTCCCCACGCAGCTGGCTGCGAGGAAGGAAATACTGTTTCTGGCTCCGTGCTGCGAGAAGCATCTCAGCACGGGCAGGGCTGCCCCGACCCTGCTGCTGGGCCGGTTCCTGTGCTGGAGGGCGGGACAGGCTTTGGGAGCGAGGATGGAGAGGTGATGGGGGGCTCGGGGGGGTTCACCGTTCCCGAGGGTGTCTCACTGCTCATGTCAGTCCTCCTGAAAGCAGAGTGGGACGGGGCAGCTCCGGAGGCAGAAGGGGCACGAGGCCGAAGGATGAGGTGTATCTGCAGGCTGACCGGGCTCGCAACAGCCCTGGGGCTCCTGGCCAGGCTGGACACGTGGGAGCTCTGCCCCGAGGGAGGCTTGCCAGGAGAGGCAGGGTGGCCAGGCGGTAGCAAGGGCACGAGAAGAGCTGGTGATTCCGGAGCAGGATCACGCAGGTGCTTCACAGCATCCTCCTGCCCATGCGCTGAGGCACTGGGGGCTCCCGGGGAGCCACGGCCGTGGCTGACTTCAAAGGAGCATCACCAGAAGTGTGATTTGGAAGGCGGTGGCATCTCATGGGGGGAGAGCTGTATTCCCCACTCAGAAATGCCCCCCCCCCCATTGCCTCTGTTGCCCCTGCCCACCGGGGAGGGGGTACCCACGCTGTGCAAAGCGCTCAGAGGCTGCTGGGCGAGGGATGGGGGGGCTGGGTGCACGTCGGAAGCTCCGGGGAGATGGGCACAACCCTTGCCACAGGCCCTCGGGGCAGTGCCAGGTTTGGAAATGACGCTCTTAACGCTGTTTAAAGGCAGCATGTGGGGAAGAGTCATTAAGCAAACGACAGCAGCCTTTTAACTAGTCTCAGTGGCCCAGGAAATCCCCGCTGGCCTGGGAGGCAGCGAGCGCGTTGCTGCGCTGGATGTGCCGGCGCAGACGCCGTCTTGATGTGCTCGGCTGGTAGCAGATGGCGCGGGGCAGAGGGTAATGTGCCTGTCCTCGGCGGCCCGTGGTCCCCCGGAGCCAGCTCTGTCCTGTCAGCGCGGGAAGTGACAGCGAGACCCTGCTGCTCAGCTTGCGGGAGAGAGGAGACAGAAAGGAAGAGATGGGGGGAAATTGCAGAGCTCGTCCCAGAAGCTGACGATGATCACAATAATAATGTGACCCACCCGCCACGTCTGATCCGCGCGAGAGGCAGCGACGGCGTCCGTGGGGAGCGTGGGGGTGGAAGGTGAGCGGCGAGGAGGGGGCCTCCCCTGCCTCTTCATGCCCAAGCTGGAATGACTCTTCCTCCCATCCCCGGCTGTGTGGGGAACATCTGGGAAGGCGAGGGCCTGCAGAGTGCGTCTCCTTCGAAAAGCACTTTTCACAGTTGGCAGCAGCACTTCCGTGAGCGCGGGGCACATCTCTGCAGGCAGCTGTGAGCAGATCCTGCCCGTGCTCCTGCCAGAGCTGAGGAGGCAGCGGCTGGCTGCACAGGGGTGATGGCCATGGCCATGCAGGGGTGATGATGATGGCCACGCAGGGATGATAGTGATGGCCACGCAGGGATGCTGGTGATGGCCACGCAGGGATGATAGTGATGGCCACGCAGGGATGCTGGTGATGGCCATGCAGGGATGATGGTGATGGCCACGCAGGGATGCTCACACCAGGTAGCCACCAGCCAGCCTTGCTCCTGCTGCTCGCCAGCTGGGCACAGCACCCAGCCTAACGAGTCTCCTCCAGCACCCGCCCTAACGAGCCTGCTCCTACACCAGGCCCCAGCGCAGCCCCCACATCACCTCAGCAGGGCCTGTGGGGCTGGGCCAGACCCTCCACAGGGCCCCGGGAGCTCAGGCTGGTGCCAGCTCAGGGGTTTCCTTGTGGTACAGCCATGCCCTGAAATCCCGCTGCCGCGAGCAAAGCACCAGGGACTTCCCTCGCTGGAAACGGGGTCTGAGGCCAGTGAGCACTGGGGTTTGTGTGTCCTGCTCCCCCCGTGCATGGGGGATGGAGCGGGGCAGAGACGGGGCCCCGGTGACGGGCTCTGCCCTGGCAGTTTGCCTTGTAGACAGGCTCTAGAGAAATCAGCCCTGGCTGACGCCTCCCTGACAGACTCAAGGGCACATGGGGATGTGAATTCAGCCCTCACTCGCTGCAAGGAGAGATAAGGGGAGCGAGTCGTCCGAGCAGGCACAGAGCCCTTCAGCTTTCACATCAGGAGACTGTGGTGCAGAGGAATCTCCTTCCCCCACCCAGGTCTGTCTCACGGACCCAGCTGTCCCTTGGACCTGGCCCTGGCACTGTTCCCCCCATCACGGAGCTGGGAAAATGCAAATGTGGCAGCTTTCGTGTGCTTAAACCCCGAAGAGCGACGTGGGAACTGTGTGTCATTGAACCAGGTCTGAATTCCCTCTCCTCTCCCTGTCTTCTCTGTATGAATAAGCAGCTCCTGATCTCCCTGCCGCAAGCTCGTGGTCCCCCAGTGCCACGTTTTAATTAATGTTCACTCTCCGGTCCTGTGTCAGTCACACATGCCACAGTGATACTGGGCGCAGAAGGTAGTTTATCACAGCAGTCATGAATTCCTTTCAACCCCGAGCAGCCAAACACCCCGAGAGCCCAAGTTTAAAACTCTCCCACAACTTTTAAAATATTCCAGACAGCCTTCAACATCCACAAGAGTGCCAGGAGGCAGGCAGGCAAATACAGGAGCCATTAATCATTCCCCGGCTGAACTGAGCAAGATGCGCCAGCCGAGTGGGGACACGGCTCTTTCGGGGAGCAGCCCCCGTTTCAGGACTGATTGGGATATTTCCTTCCTCTGACACCGTATATCTCCGGGCGTTCGCTGTCTTTGCGTGCCGGCGGTGAGCTGGAGACGGGGTTTTGTTAAGCCGTGTAGCTGGTGGACACGTCCCACGATACCTGAGCGGGGGGAAGGTGTGCCAGGAGCGCCGCGAAGTGGCACTGGGAGGGCCAGGAGGAGCACTGGGAGGGAGGGGAGCGAGGCAGAGGTGGGGTTCAGCCATGCTCACCCCCGCTGCCGGGAGTCCCCCGGGGCAGAGGGTTCCTCATCTCTGAAGGAGAGGACAGGGGTTCACACAGCCCCCGGCAGCGGGGGGGCTCTTCCCTGGGCCACCCAACAAAGTCCCCGGGTTGTGACCCGTACCAGAGCCCACGTGCTCCTTGCACTGATCTCACCCAAATTCAGCAGATCTCCCGGCTCAGCGGGCTCCCGGCCGCGGGGGTGTTGGGGTGCAGGACCCCGGCCTGTCCTCATTCCCTGGATTTTGAACACATGCCTGGACGGGCCGGGGAGGGGGGGCAAGGCAAGCGAGCGTGGGAACTCCTGCAGCCCCAGCGGTGCTGGTTCACCCTGCGAGGTTGGAAGCTGCTTTTTCCTGCTGGCAATCTCCGTCTCATCTCCGCCTTTGAGCTTCCCAGCCGGCGGTGAAATGAGATCCGCCAGCGAAGCCGCAGCGGGGAGCGGGCCGGGTGTGTGGACACAATGGCAGCGCGTATCATTAAGGAGAGGATGGAGGCTGACGCGTGGGGGGGAGCTAAGGGCCCCCCTGGTGCTGCCATCAAGGCTCTGAAATGGAAATGCGAGGTCCCCCGGCCCCCCCCCTCGCCCACCGGTTGGCAAAGGCTCTATTAGCAGGATGTGAGTAATCATCTTAAGTAGCTATCAAAGTGCACCAGCTTGTTAAGCATTTAGCCAGGTTGTGCTGACATGACCTCTCTCCTCAATCTTCCCAGCCTCGGCGCGAGCGGCTAATTGCCGCCTCACACCTGCCGCACACCTTCTCCCCCCGGCAGAAAGGACAGGTCGCATCCAACGTGTTGCTCAGGACAGCCTCATCCTCCCCATGTCGTCCCTCACCTTTTTTATATCAGCAGTAGCCAGGCAGGAGTCCTGGGGGGACCCCGCTTTGCAAGCCGTGGTGTTACCAGCTGCAGTTCCCCAGAGCTGGGGGGGCTGGGGGCTGCGGTTGGGGCGCACACACGCTGCTGGAGCCGCTGGGGAAGACCCACCGGGGTTTTCACAGGCACCCAGAGGTGCGTGTCTCATCGCCTGGTGGGTGGGAGGAAGCGGAGGCTGGGGACGATGCGATGGGGGCTGAGCAGCCCCGGTGATGGCAGAGGACCAGCAGGAGTCACATTCTGCCGGGATGGGGCAGCCTTTGTGATGGGTGATGGCCAGGAAGATGAGGAAGGGGCCGAGCTGGAGCCTTCTTGTCTTGTGGTCCGGGTGGAGAGTGCGCTGGGGAACCTGCAGCGATGGCTCCTGCTCTCATTGCTTCCATACTGAAGGAATTCTGGGGGCAGAGCCACCGCCTTCCCTCTCCCCCCGCAGAAAAGCAGCGGCTGTCTCCCCTCTGCGTGTCCCCAGGAGCAGCCTGTCGTGCGGGGGAGGCTGACACCATCTTTAAACTCCAGCAGGGGAGGGTCAGACTGGACATTAGGAAAACATTTTTCAAAGAGTGGTCAGAGTGGAACAGGCTGCCTGGGGTGGGGGAGTCCCCATCCCTGGGGGGGTTTAAGGGCCGTTGGGATGAGCTGTGGGGGGATGTGGGGTAGGGGAGAACTGTAGAGTCGGGCTGAGGGTTGGACTCGATGATCCCGAGGGGCTTTTCCAACCAGAATGTTTCTGTGATTCTGTGATTCCCGGGGCCGTTGCAGAGACGCTCGTCACCATTGCGCTGAGCTTTCCCCACGTGCCGCGGCACGTCCATGTGGCCGGGCAGGCAGAGGAGTGGCAAGGGGACGGCGCTGACGGAGCCCGCTTTGCTTTTCAGGAGACACAGCAGCCTACAAAGACGGCGTTTACTGGATCAAGGGCCGCACCTCAGTAGACATCATCAAAAACGGGGGGTTCAAAATCAGCGCTCTGGAGGTGGAGCGTCATCTGCTCGCCCACCCGCACATCGCAGGTATGAGGCTGCTCCTCCCCGGGCCCGTGCCCAGAGGGGACGGTGTGTGGGGGCCTGGCTCTAGTGACAGCCCTGGCTCAGCGCCGACGTGGGGCTGCCCGAGGCCTCGTGCCTGGGGGCTCTTCCCCGCTTTCCCCAAGAGCAAGCTGCGTTTCAAACCTGTGAAGCCCACAGCAGCTCCTGTCTGAATTTGGAACTGAGACTAGAATTAAATCTGTCCTGCCCCTGTGCGTGACCCTGTACGAGGGGGTGGAAGCGGTGCCCCCAGCTCCACGCCCCTCTGTACATCCTACCCCTCCCTCTTGACTGAATTGCTCAAACCATGGGGCTTTCTGCCTTTTTCTGTGGTGAAAAGCTCCGTTCTTGGAAATGGTGTCAGCACCAAGGTCCTGGTGGTTTCCTGTACTAACATCCCACAGCATCCTCCTCCCTGCGCACCGCTGCTGCCAGCAGCTACCAGCGGTGCTGAACCCCTCTTCTACCCCGTCCCCAACCCCAGAAATCGCTCGGCTTTCTCCACCCGAGTGCTCTGCTCTCTCTGCAGACGTAGCTGTGATCGGGCCCCCGGACATGGTCTGGGGCCAGCGGGTCAGTGCTGTCGTGCAGCTGCGCAAGGGCGAGATGCTCTCGGTGAAGGACCTGAAGGACTGGGCCAGGTAAGATCCCGCGGGGAGGAGCACGGCAGGGCCATGTCAGAGGAGGGGTGAAGGGGTGACTGACAGCCACGTAGTGCCTCAGGCTCTAGGGATGGAGAAAAGGCCACAGCTCCAAGCAGGAGGTCACTGGGCACGTGAGATAATGGGAATAAATGGGCCTCTCGCCCCAAAAGTGCCTTTGATAAACGACCTGCACGTTGCAGCCAAGTGGCTCTTACCTCGCAGCCCCGAGCCCAGCTGCTGGCAGAAAGCACAGAGCAAGCACCAGGGCAGGGGCAGGTGAAGCTTCGTGTTTTCTCAGCAGCAAGAACATTTGCTCAGCTCTGCTGCAGTCGCTCCTCACTTGCCTTCCTACCCACTAGAAGCCAGCCCAGCCCAGCCCCCAGTTATCCCAGAGACCTCTCCCCTGGAGAGGGGGGGCACCAGGGCTCGTGGACTCTCCCTGGAGTCACCGCAGTACCAAGGAGCGGGGCACAGAGCAGCCGCCTGCCATCCTGCGAGGCTTCGGCATTAAAACCGGCACCTTCTCCTTCCAGTCGGGCAGAGATTGGCGCACGCTGAGATTTCAGGCATCAGCCCTGGGAGCCTGAGCAGGCGGGAGCCAGGAAGCAGAATCACTGGGTTTATCGCTAATATTCCATTAGCAAAATATTTAATAGCAGATTCTTTCTTTTCCTGGCAGCTCCCTCCTTCGGGCTGCGGATATTTTTGGCGAGGCTGGCGCTATTTTGTAAGCGGCAGGAGCACTTGTTTCATCAGGGGCTGCACAGCAGCCAATTAAAGATTTCCCCTGGATTTGCAAAAATCACAGTTGGGGGACTGCGATTTAGCAAATGCGAGGAAGACGCTGGCTGGCCGGCTGCTGCTCTGATTAAACAGTCACCTCGCAGGGGAAAAGAAGCAAACAAAGAAACCAAACCCACACCAGGTCGCTGCTTGGGCAGAGGGGCCAAGACCTTGCCAGGGTGTCCCTCCTGCTGCTGCACACACATTAACCCTCTGGCTGCTGCTGGCCTGGGACTCCTCCTCCTCCTCCTCCTTCTCCTTCTCCCAGGGCGGCTCACGGCCACCAGCAGCTTTTGCTTGATTTAACTGATGTCCTCTTGCAGACTAAGATGTCCCTTCTCGGCCAGGCTCAGCCCCTCCTGGTCAGCCCAGGCTCCTGGTGCTTCAGGGTTCTCCAGCCAGGACCCTCCCCGGCCTCAGCACGGGGGTGATGGAGAGCAGGGACGGGAGATCTTCATCCCTAATCCTCCCGGCAGGGACATCCGTGACCCCAGCAGATCCATTCATCCACCGCCCGTGGCTGCGCTTTGTGGGTCACCCGGGTGTTGGTCTCTGGTGCAGGGCAGGGGGGGCTGCAAGCTGGGGTGTCCTCCCCCTTGTCCTCGCCGTCCCCAGCTCTGGAGCAGACGCGCTGCTGTTCTGCCTGTGCAGAGCGAGGGCAGGAGCCCTTGAAAGAAAAACCCTCGGAGGGTTGGAGCCGCCCGCCCACCCGGGCTCCTCGGGGGCTGCTGCTCCCTGCCCAGGCACGGCTCCAGCTGCCTCCCCCCCTCCTCTTCCCTTCGCCCTGTCTCTCCCCTTTATTTTTTATGTCACTTACATTCGTTTGGCCCTTTTTCTCGCACTCCCTGGCAGGAGACACATGTCCCTCTTCAGAGTGATTCATTTGGCGGCTTTCGCCTCCAATCGTGCTTCCCGGCGACAGGCGCCATCCTGAGTTAGAGGCGTCCATATGGTGGGGGGTGCTGGTGGCGGGCGGGGGGAGGACGCCCGGGTGATGGTTGAAGGGCTCAGCAGACTTGGCACCTCGCATCAGAGTCGGTGCCAGGACGCTGCCGGAGCTGGGCACGGCCCCAGGTTGGTGACACACAGGCAGCAGAAGGCAGGAGAACCCCCCCTCTGCTCTGCAGAGGGCACAGGGATGATGCTCCGTGCTCAGACTCGCTCCCGCAGCGGGAAGACACCCCGCTGTGTGTCGTCCCCCCCACCCCAGTCTCAGTCCTCAGGGACTGGCACCCAGGACACGTGTGGGTCCAGCATCCATCACGCTGCTGAGCTGTTTTCCTGTGCTGGCTCTAACGAGGAGTTTCACAGAATCCCAGAATCACCTGGGATGGAAAAGCCCCTGCAGCTCCTCCAGCCCAGCCATGACCCTCACCCTGACCGTTCCCAAGCCCACCAGATCCCTCAGCGCTGGCTCAGCCCGACTCTTCAACCCCTCCAGGGATCCCGGGGACTCCCCCCTGCCCTGGGCAGCCCATTCCAACGCCCAACAGCCCCTTCTGCACAGAAATCCTTCCTCAGAGCCAGCCTGACCCTGCCCTGGGCAGCTTGAGGCCATTCCCTCGGGGCCTGGCGCTGGGGCCTTGGCTCCAGAGACTCATCCCCCCTCTCTGCCCCCTCCTGGCAGGGAGTTGCCGAGGGCCAGGAGGTCTCCCCTCAGCCTCCTCTTCTCCAGACTGAACCCCCCCAGTTCCCCCAGCCGCTCCCCAGCAGACCTGTGCTCCAGACCCTGCCCCAGCTCCGTTGCCCTTCTCTGGCCACGCTCGATCACTCATTGGCCTTTTTGGGGTGAGGGGCCCAACACTGAACCCAGGAATCGAGGGGTGGCCTCCCCAGTGCCCAGCCCAGGGCTCAGATCCCTTCCCTGTCCCTGCTGGCCACGCCAGTGCTGACACCAGCCAGGATGCCGTTGGCCTTTTGCCCCCCTGGGCACACTGCTGGCTCCTTATCAATCAGTTAGCCCCCCCAGTCCCTCTCTGACCGGCAGCTCTCCAGCCGCCCCTCCCCAGGCCTGTAGCCCCCCTGGGGGTTGTTGTGGCCCAAGGGCAGCCCCCGGCATTTGCCCTCAGTGAAACTCCCCCAGCTGGGCTCAGCCTATCTCTCCAGTCTATCCAGGTCTCCCTGCAGCCTCCCCACCCTCAAGGATCAACACTCCCACCCAGCTGGGTGTCCTCTGCAAACTGACTGTGGGGGCACTCGATCCCCTTGTCTAGATCATCACTGATGGATGAGGCCGCATCAGGGGCTCTGCCTCCAACTCGCTGAAGGGTCTCTGTTCCCCCTCCCGAGGGGTGGGTGGGTGTTTTTTGGGGTGTCTTGTCCTCAGGGAGCACCCCCCACACTGGGGCTGGACGTGGCAGGCAGAGCCAGGTCCTGGTAACAGGGTCCATCCCCAGCCCAAACCACCACAAGCGATGACCCGGGAATGGGGTGTGACCAGGGAGCACAGGCAGGAGCAAAACGGCCCGAGATGAGCTACAGCACGGGGCCAAAGTCCTCCCAGGAGAGGGGGGCAAGGACAGGTCCCCCCAGGACTGAGCTGCCAGACTGTAATGGGCTGCGCTCCTGCGTTGCAGGGAGACCATGGCACCCTACAGCATCCCGACCGAGCTGATCGTGGTGGAGGAGATCCCGCGCAATCAGATGGGAAAAGTCAACAAGAAGGAGCTTCTGCAGCGCTTTTACCCAGCCTAGTGCACGGCCTGGGCGTGGGACGGGGAGCCCGGCGCTGGTGGGTTCGTTCTCCCTCACAGCAGCGCTGAGGGGGGGCCAGCAGCGATGAGCAGTGGCGGGTCCGGGCTCCCTGCGCTCTGCTCCGCGAGAGAAGCCCAATAAAAGCCGGGTTCACCCCACATGGTCTCTTCGGCTGGTCCGAGCCCGAGCTGCAGGGCCCCCCTCCTTGTGCACGAGCTGTTTGCAGGAGGCTCGGGGCAATCCTCAGCCTAGAAGTGAAGCGTGGGGTGAATGTGGGGGGGTCCCAGGCCAGGACCCCCCTCCCAGAGCTGGCAGCGGGCAGGTGTTGGCCAAAGTTGCTCCATTTAGCCCCCGGGTAGGTGGTGGGGGGCAGGTGAGGGGCAGAGACCACAAACACCTCCACATCCCCCCGGGCTGGTCCCGGCAGCGGCTGCTCGGGGGCAGACAGGCCCCGCTGGCCCCCGGGGTGGCTCAGCCCCAGAGTGCCAACCCCCCAGAGCCGCTCTGCCTGGGTGGGAAGGGCTGTCCGGGCACCCCAGCTCCCCCAGTTTGCCTTCATCTGCCTGGGGATGCTCATCCTCATTTCCGTTACAGCTCGTTCTCAGGCCCCGTGCAGCTCATCGCCAGATGAAACGACTCTTTAGCTGGAAGGCCTGTCTTCAGCCGGCTGCGGCGGTGCCTGGGAATTCTGCATCCTCTGCCCTTTCCCACAGACTCAGCGTCTTTCCCCGTAGTTTGGTTGATAGAGAGGGGAAACCCCAGTGGATCCCCTCACTGGTGGGATCCTGCTCTGCGTGGGATGCCCCATAACCCCCCCCCGTGAATCGGTACCGTCCACCCAAGCACCAACTCCCACTTCACAGCAGAAATGAAGAATAAATACAAAAATCAGAAATAGTGGCTGCGCTCACCAACCCAGAGCATATCCCACCCCCCCAGGCGCTCAGAGGAACGGCAGGAGCTGGAGATGGGCTCGGGTTTTGGCCAGGGTGGGCCCACGGGCCGGCGTGGGGTGGGGGCAGAGCCCGGGGGGGTGTTGGAGGCACCGGGGAGCAGATGCAGCAGGATCCACACTGCGCGTGCCTGTGCCGACACCAGCGCCCACGTCTGAAGGTCATCGATCGCCTGGAGGACGGGCGGCGTCCATAACCTCTACCCTTGGAAACGGGTGTTGGTCCCTCTTTGACTTCGGGCGCGACGGTGGGCGATGGGGAGGGATAGCGCCGGGGAGGGCAGCGGGGGGACAGCGGCCGTGCCCCACAGCTCCCTGACCAGTGGATCCCTCCCCAGCGTGGGCACAGCGCACTGGGGAGGCGGCGTGGCACTGGGATGCCGCTCCGGTCCTGTCCGGTGCTGCGGGGGTGATGGGTGGGGACCCCCAGATTTCCCCACCAGCTGACAGGGGGTCCGGCCCTGCCCACGGCCGCAGCTCCCAGGGCAGGGGGGGCACCTGGATTTCGGTACTTCAGGCTCGGAAGGGGTTGGGTCGGGGTCCCCCAGGGAGATGCGGGGCTCAGGCAGCCACCCCTGAGCATGCCACGCACCGCGGGGTGCCCCCCTCGCCCCCCCAGCAGAGCCCAGCGTCAGCGCCTCGCCCCGGTCTGCGGGAGGGACCGAGCGGATCCTTTGTTAAAACATCAACGATGCAGTAAATTTTTTAACTTACCGAATAGATCAATATCAAATTATCATGTCTCACATTCATAACTCTTAAGCAAGCAACAATGGAGAGAGACAAGGTCACTGGAGAATAAATAGCAGCAAAAGCTCTTAATGATCTATCATTCTCGACAACCCCAGGCACCCAGCACCAGCCCGGTGACAAGATCATTAATAAAACTCTGCAGGAACGCTATCGATTGCTTTGATGGATGATCACAGGTAGCAAATACTGTAAAACACCTGGTTGTCACACACCAAAATGAGTAGTTTGACTCGCACCTCGGCGCGGGGACCCGGCCGCCGGGTTTTCTCCAGGTTCTCTCCAGGAGGGTGGTCAGTGGCGCAGCCCCTGCTTTGGGGGTCCCCCACAGCTCCCACCTCCACTCCCCCACCGCTGTTCATCCCTCTTGATGGGACCTGTTAATTAAAAACCTTGTTAAAGCACCTGGTTACGGTGCCCTCGGGGTGGGACCGGAGCCGCCTGGAGCTGGATTTAGGTGACCTGGTGCCACCGTGAGACCCGCTCCAGCCCCTCACCGCCGGCTGCAGCCCCAGGACACCACCGCAGCCTGGCCCTGGGGGGTGGACGGGGTTCCCCATGGCCGTGGGCTCTGCTCCCCCCACGCTGCATCCATCAGGGGCACAGGGGGGGCTGCGTGTGTGTCCCCCACCACTCCAGGCGCTTCGCTTGCGAGCCACGTCTGCACTGACGGCCTGATCGTATGTACACAACCATTCAATTACCCCGTAATGGCTACAGGCTATTAAGCCATCAATCTCCTTCATTAAGGCCTGCCAGGCTCGGCCTGGCAATAAAACCATTAACAAAACACCACCACCACCACCAAGTAGCATCTTTTGGCCGTAACGCCGTCCGGCAGCGTCCTCCTGCCCACATCCCAGCCCAGACCTGCCGCCCCGAGCTCGGTATCACCACGCTGGGATGTCCCCGGTGAGCTGGGACCTGCCCACACCCCTGTGCCCCCCTCCCAGTGCTCCCAGCAGCTCGGGCCCGGCCTGGGCTTGGCACACTGGGACCTGCTCTCGCACTTTAGAGCTGACGTTATCTTTTATTGCCGTATAAAAGCCAAAGCTCCAGTGGCTTCGCGGCTGCTGTGCCGGCGTTTGGCACCTCTCTGGTCGCTCCTGGCTGCTCGCTGTCCCCATCGCTGGGTGTGGCGGGGACAGGACACTTCCCAGACCCCCCCAGTACCTGCGCTGGGGTCACAAGTGGTCCCACTGCACCCACAGTAGGGACGTGACTGGTCCCAGCACCCGCGGTGGGGGCACAACCGCCCCCCAACACCTGGAGCTCTTGCACTGGGTGGATCAGAGAGTGTCAGCAGGCAGGATGGGGACCTGCCCCTCCAGAACAGGGTGACCCCTTCTCCGACTTGGCATAGCACTGGGGGGTGTAGGACTGGGCTGGCGCCACTCGGACCCAGCATCTGTGGGGTCCCAAATCCCTGCACCCCAGTGG